CATCAATTTCGTTTTCGATCAGATTCCACCTATCTCCCCCAACCTTCTCCACCTTCCTGGTCCTCGTGCCTTGTCCCGCTAACCTACACCTCCCCCCCTCTTGTGGAATCGGGACGGGCGGAGTTATTCAGGGCGGGAAGGGGAGCACTAAGCCGTCGGAGGCATGGCGTTGGCCAACAGACGGCATGTACCCCTTTACCCCCTCCTCCTTCACCAAGCGCCATTCACCTCCTCCGACGAGAGTTACAGTTATACTGCCCCCATGGGGGAAAGTCGAAGACAAACCAGATCCTCGTAAGGTGAAACCCCCCCGAACAGCAGACATCACCTTGGACTGGGCACCCTACTTCCTCCTCGGCGGCGGAGGGTACCGGCCAGGTTGGTGTCCGCTAGCCAAGGGGGGATCCTAATTGCAGGACCTGAGGCCCTTGCCTCCAGCCTGTTCTCCGACTGTTTATCACCTTACCTCACCAATGCCATCCCTCTATCACTGCATGATGCTTGTTTGTAACTCCGTGCCACCGCTTCCCCGCACGTTGTTATATCCCTCCACCTCTTTCGCCTCCGGTACGCACTGCAAACGACCGCCATTAGTAGTCTTCTCAGAAGGCGGCGGGCCTTCTCAGCAGCGGCGAGGGGAGGGACGTTTCGCGGCTTTCTCTTACCCGCCCACCCACCAGCGTCAAAGGTTCCATGGGTATTCCATGAGGCAGACATTCACAGAATCTGTGTTAGCCTCACAACGCCCAAGTGCCACCTCTCAGCTCAATGCACATTGCCATTTCTCTGCCACATGTCCGACACTGACCTTAAACATGCCCCGCAGATCGGTGCACATTGCCTCACCATCAGCCTGATTTGCCTATCTCTAGTTTTTTCCCGCCAGAGACCTTAGTCCCTACCACCTTCTGGTTTCACGGTCGGTTGGGGGGCTGTTTCATCTCACTCCAAAAGAACAGGCGAACAGCAGCAAGAAGAGCAAGCTAACTGCAGCCCTCTGACCTTTACCCCAAGAGCATGCGAACTGCAGCACATCCACCCCCGCACCGACCTTTTAGATGGCCATCGCAATGTTTCACAGCTACAGCTCACCGTTATATGAAGGCCCCAGTTTTTGACCGACCCCCATAGCGCACCCCCATTGTAATACACCGCCGTTCCTCTGTCCTGCGTTCCGTCCACATCTGGGGGGGCGCTCGTGGGGTTCGGTGAATAGCTGGGTCCTCTCCCCCCCCTCCCTCGCCTCGTTGTGCGCGCTTTCCCTCCTTGGTTCCTCCCGTGTCGTCCCCCTCCTCGTTTCTCCCTCCCCTCCTGGGGTAGCCCCCCCTTTTGGCCTGTGGCGCCACCTTCCAATACCGGTCCTGTCTCCCTGTTTGGGGGGGCAGGGCTGGGAACGGCTACAGGAGAACATCATGACCGCCGGCAGCAGCAGAAGCAGCAGGAGGAGGACGGGGGAGGAGGGCGCAGGAGGAGGGCGTGGGAGGATACTGGCGGCCTGCACAGCATCAGGGGCGGTCGGCCCCTCCTTCGGGAGCTTCGCCCTTCCTGCAGTGGTGCCCGAAGGGCCTCACCGTGCACGGTGCTCTTGCACAGCCCGCCGACGTCCGTCCGCCACTGCGGACAAGGAGGCTCCAGGCACAGCTTGCGCGAAGACCGGGGAAGGCTCACCCCCACACAAAGCCAGACCAAGAGGCAGCCCTGGGACGGCTCACACCCACACGGCGGAGGCGGTGGAAGTGGGAGGAGGCGGCGGGAGGAGGAGGTGGGAGGAGGAAAAGGAGGACCAGAGTAAGCCCAAGACGCGTCAATCAACGATGTTGACATAAACCCTGCCCCAAGTTCCCTTGCATAGGTCCCTACCAGAGTTGGCGTTCATTGTGGGAGATGGCCAGTTAGAAGACAGCCGTCTGAGAATCCTCAGTCTTGCCAAAACACCGTTCTTCGGACTTCAACGCCGCGGATCAACACGACTGTTGCGTCCTGACAATCCTAAACCGTGCCAGAACACCATTGCTGGGACTTCTACACCGCGAATCAACTTAACTGCTGCGTCCTGAAGATCCTGAATCGCGCGAGAGCGCGATTCCTGTGGACGAAAACTTAAAACATACTCCGAACATATGGCTTTAACAGATTCCGAAACACTATTGTTTTGACCATGTTGGAGTATCCCTCCTTTGGAGAGACGTGCGAGGGAGGAGGAGGGAGGGAGGAGGGAAGAGGAGGAGGAGGAGGAGGAGAGAGGAGGAGGAGGAGGAGGAGGAGGAGGGAGAGGGAGGAGGGGGAGGGGGAGGAGGAGCAGGAGGAGGGGGAGGAGGAGGAGGAGGAAGGAGGAGGAGGAGAGGAGGAGGAGGAGGAGGAGGAGGAGGGAGGAGGAGGGGGGGAGGAGGAGGAGGAGGAGGAGAGGAGGAGGAGGAGAGGGGAGGGGGAGGGAGGGAGGAGGAGGAGGAGGAGGAGGAGGAGGAGGAGGAGGAGGAGGAGGAGGGAGTGCTGAGGCGAGACCCCCCATTTGAGAGAAGGAGCCGCCCTGCGTCCGCGACGCTGCTGCAGACGAGCGTGCGCGGCACAGCACGAGGCACCTTTCGAGCACGGCCCGCCCTCCGCCCGTGAAACTGTTGCAATCGTCGTCGTCTTTGTCGTCGCCGTCGTCTTTTTCGTCGTCGTCTTCGCCGTTTTCGTCGTGGTCGCTGTCGTCGTCGCCTTTCTCGTCGTCGTCTTCGTCGTCGGCGGCGCTGTCGTCGTCTTTCTCGCAGTCGTCGTTTTCGTCGTCGTCGTCGGTGTCGTCATCGACGTCGTCATGTTCGTCGTCGTCTTTTTCGTCGTCATCTTTTTCGTCGTCGTCGTCGTTTTCGCCGTCGTCGTCTTTTTCGTCGTCGTCGTCGTCTTTTTCGTCGTCGTCGGCGTCGGGATCAAAAATGGTGATGACATCTCCTGCGAAACGTAAGGCCCACCCTACCGACACGTCTGGTGGTGCGGCAGGGAGGAGTTGCTTATAAGGACAAGGAATGGAAGGGGGAGGAGGGGGAGGAGGAGGAGGAGGAGGAGGAGGAGAGGGAGGAGGAGGAGGAGAAGGAGGAGGAGGAGGAGGAGGAAAGGAGGAGGCGGGGAGGAGGGAGGAGGGGAAGGGAGAAGGGGGAGGAGGAGGAGGAGGAGGAGGAGGAGGAGGAGGAGGAGGAGGGGGAGGAGGAGGAGGAGGAGGAGGAGGAGGAGGAGGAGGAGGGGAGGAGGGGAGGAGGAGGAGGGAGGAAGAGGAGAGGAGGAGGAGGAGGAGGAGGGGAGGAGGAGGAGGGGGGGAGGGGGAGGAGGAGGGGGAGGGGGGGAGAGGAGGGGAGGAGAGGGGAGGAAGAGGAGGAGGAGGAGGAGGAGGGGGAGGAGGGGGAGGAGGGGGAGGAGGGGGAGGAGGAGGAGGAGGAGGAGGAGGAGGAGGAGGAGGAGGAGGAGGAGGAGGAGGAGGAGGAGCAGGGCGCCCCTCCTCCTGGCCAGGGCAGAACCTGGGCCCTGGCTTGGCGTATACAATCATCAGCCTGACCTAAGGAACGATGAGTAAGGAACGAAGCCACTTCGTCTCCAAGGAAGAACACACAAGGAACGATAAATAAATAACGCGTAAGGAACGATAAGTCACGCTGCAAACCTGAGGAACGACCGAGCCCTTTTGAAGAGCAAGCGTTCCTTATTCAAGCCGCTCACTGCATATCCTTCTCGCCGAGGCCGAGGGCCTATCACCATATCAAGGCCCAGGATGGCCCTAGCCAGGCATGGTGGCAAAGTACCCAGACTCCCGACGCCATGATGTGTGTGTGTGTGCGTGCGTCACAGCGTCAAATCCAAGATGCTTCGACCCATTCCCCGGGACTGGCTCAACATCCCGAGTCGTTGTTTCACTGCCCCCGAGCCCAGCAGTGGCTCGCGGAGCCCGACAATAACGGAAAGCCCTCCGCGGTGATCTTTTCATGATCCGAGGGGGTCTGGAACTTCGAATGCGGTGGGGGCGTTGGTTCAGGAATGTGCTTGGCCAATCCACGATCAAAGTTCAACTGGCTTCGAGACCCTGGATTCCGTATCCAATGCTTCCTTATCCAATGCCCCCACCGTAATGGCCCAGCACCCAAGGCCCGGACTGGACTTCCAGCGGCTTGTCCCGGTCCTCGGCCTTCTTCGGGGCCCGTGTCGTGACGGACCGGGTGGTCTCCTGCTCCCAGTGGGGCGGCTCGCCGGACGACGACGTCCTCGTCGTCGTCGCCACGGTCGTCGTCGACGGCGAGGTCGCCTGAGATATGTCTGGACGTTTTGGTTGGTACGTTGCTGAACCTTGCTATCACCTTCGTGGACACGCACACTGCTTTGGTGCCCGGTCGTGCCGTGCCTGTCTCACCACACGGTGCCAGGGCATCGCCTCGACCTGACCTCAGCTGCATCTTGCATCTCTGCGGCAGGCTCGTCATCAGGCGCGTGCCGTTCCCGTGCCCGTCCTGCTCTGTGAACGATTCTGGTCGCCACGGCTGGACGCAGCTCGGAAGAGTGGCGGCTGTGCGCCCGGGGAGGGGTCTGGGGGGACGCTTTGGGTGGATTCCTGGCGAGAGGGCAGACCGAGCGGGACCGGCCCTTGGAGAAGGCCAGGGGGCTGCTCGGAAGGGACGGGCTTCCAAGGCGGGGAGGCTTCTGCGAAGCCCCCCGGCCTCAGAAGGCCACCCCCCTTGAAGCCAGTCCGTCTTTGGCAACTCGTGGGAGCCTCCCATATCATCTTACTGGCTATTGATAGTCGACGCGAACCGAAGCTAATCGACGCTAATCGACACAACATCGGCGATTTCTGATGGACTACCAGGCGCTAGCGCACGCCGATGTACCCTCGAAGCAGAATTTCGAGGACACACAGGGCTCCCATGACTTGCTGCCGAAAACACCCACTTTCAGCAGCGGTGCTGGCATTTTGGGGTGCAGACGGCCTGCGTGCGCAGCCGCAGGGCATGGCCGATGCCTCAGATCAACGAGCCCAGTCACTCGAGAAGTGCCACGGCGTCCGAGAGTGTAGAGCCATGGTTGCTCAAAGTGGCACCCGCAATCAGGGAGATGCGCTGCCAGCATTCCTCCGGAGCTGTTTCGGCATCTGAATGATCATCTTCTCCCAGTAAGCCTCCGACAGCAAGCCCCGTTCGCCCCAGGTGTTTGACGTAGAAATTCAAGTACGGGGTCCCTTGCTGCGTGTGCCCGTGAACAATCTTCATCTCAACCTTACCAAAGGCAAGCCACTCTGGAGTCTCGTTGTCAATGCTGTCTGAGCGGAAAGTGTACCCTCCTGCTTGTTTCACCTCTGCCCAAGCCCCCGTAATGTTCAAAGCTTCGAAGTACATGTCCGAGCAACTTCCACCCATACGGCGCGCCTCGGCCTCCACGCGAAGCAGTGCGTTCTCGGCGCTCATTCCACGAGGGATGTTTATCAGGACATGCCTGCCCTGCTTCATCACATCGAACCGCTCACCCTGAATGTTCTGCAGGTGGGGATCGCCAGTGGCAGCAATTTGGCCCGAAGCCGCAATCGACGTCGGGGTGGGCATGGTGGGGCTGGGCGTCGGGCTCGACGTGGGGCTGGGCGTCGGGCTTGACGTGGGGCTGGGCGTGGGGCTTTCCGTGGGGCTTGGCGTGGGGGGCGCCGGCGTTGGGCTGGGCGTCGGGGGAGCCGTCACGGCGGAACAGATCAGTGAGGCGCCCGCTTGATTGCTCGCGGAGTGCCAGTACCAAGCGCTGCCCCACTCGCCCCACCCACCATCCCATTTCGCACAGTTGCCGCCGTAAGCATGAGACACGAAAGGGCCTGCATGGAATCCGAGCGCCTCTCCGGCCGCGTCACACTCTGTGGATGAAGAGATCGCCGCAAACCCATTGGGACACGACCCCGTTGCTACGACATATTGGTTCAGCTTGCAGATAGGTTTGGCGCCATTTTGATTACTCGCATGATAGTAGAACCAAGTAGTCAAACCCAAACCTGGGTAAATCAAAAGACGCCGATACCTCTACTCCCCAGACCTCTCCCGCGACGCGATCTGACCAAGATTTCGAAGCGACTCCAACGGCCTCTCAGGAGGCACACACAAGCGAAAACGAGGGAAGGCCAGCAGTATCGGTGCCTCCTCCTTCTCCTCCTCCTCCTCCTCCTCCTCCTCCTCCTCCTCCTCCTCCTCCTCCTCCTCCTCCTCCTCCGGCGACCAGCACCCCACTGCGCACAGGATCCGCCGTAATCCCAGCTTCCCCACTGGCCCAGTTCGAAGCCAAGCGCGCTGCCGGCTTTGCTACACTCGGCGACGTCAGTGATGGGCGAGTACCCGGTGTGGCACGCGGCCGTGGTACCGACCGCGTAGGCGTGCAGCTTGCAGACCGACTGGGCGCCGGCCTGGTTGTTCGCGTAGTTAGTACCAGGAGGACGCGGCCGCAGACACTCCACCCCACCCACCTGGGAGGGCGGGAAAGCATATACACATACAGCTGGACCCCTTGAGACCTGGGCGTTGCAATCGTTTCACACGGGGCGCTTTCGCTTGGATGCGGGCCCCGGGACCACCACAAATCGGTCGGGCCTGCAAAATGCCGCAGAAAGATTGGGTCTGGGGCTCTGGTCGTGATCTCTCGCGATGTCGCAATTTGTTTGTAACGTCGGATCTCAAACTACACATGCAACTGGAACATAGCCACAAGAATGCGGGCCCAGAGCATGAACCCCTTCACCGAAGATCCAAGGCCCCATGGAGAGGCTCGAGCAAAGAAAAGCCAGAGGGTGGAGAGTCCTGACGCGAAGAACAGAACAGTGCCCCTCCGAACCTAGGGTTCCTCTTGACCCTCGTGCCAGGTGCAGGCTTCGGAGATACGGGGGCGGCACATTGCCGATTCCAGAAATTCTTGAATCCAAATAAACATGGAATCTCTTGGGGGCGCATCTTTTACTTCCGCCTCCTTCCGCTGGCCTTCCGCTGGCTTTCGCTGGCGGAGGCGGCCATGTTTTGCTTCCGCCGGTTTCCGCCGCCCCTCCGCCGCCCTTCCGCCGAGAAGAAGATGGCACCTCCTTCGACCCTCGAAGGCGAGGCCCCTTTCTCTGGAAGGCCGCATACGGTGAGGGCATCGGATAAAGAAGGGGTAAGGAATCCAGGGTCTGGAAGCCGGTGACAGTGCAATCGTGGATTGGATTGGATTGGTTGGGCCATGGCTATTACCGCCGAGACCCCCCCTCAGATAAGGAACCTCCTAAGGTCTTAAGCCTCCTGGGCACATTCCTTAACCACCGCCCTCCCCAGTGGGTCTTAGGAGTGGATACACAGGAGAAGAGCAACAGATATATTTATAGATACATAAGAGAGAGAGAGAGGGAGGAACATACGTAAAACACTTGCGATTGGAGCCAGTCCTGTGGCCTTCTGAGGCCTCCTGCCTGGGGCCTCGTGGGGGCTCCTGGAGCCTTCCGGGGCCTCCTGTTGCCTCCTGTCGCTTCCTGTGACCTCCTGTGGCCTCCTGTGGCCTCCTGGTGCCTCCTGGTGCTTCCTGGGGTCTCCTGGAGCCTCCTGGGGCCTCCTGGGGCCTCCTGTGGCCTCCTGGGGCCTCGTGTGGTTTCCTGTGGCCTCCTGATGCCTCCTGGGACCTCCTGTGGCCTCCTGTGGCCTCCTAGGGCCTGCTGGAGCCTCCTGTGGCATCCTGAGGAGGATCCATGCCCACGAGTCTGGACAGCAACACCAGCAAATCGTTCGAGACACCCTCGCAAGCTGGGCCCCCTGGGGTGCGAAAACCAGCGCCTCGCACGAGACATCCTCCAAATCTGCTCCGAAAGCGAAGGATGTTGAGATGGTAAGCAGGCAAACCGCTTGAGACACCCCCGCAATCTGGGCGCGAACGGAGACCGTGAGATACCCCTGGCGGCCCCCTTTTAGGAGTGCGATAACCAGCAAGCCGCCTGAGACATCCTCAGGATCTGCTCTGAGCGCAGACGAGTCTGGCCACCAAAACGGGTAAACCGCTCGAGGCATCCTTGCAATCTGGCCCCCTCTGGTCATCAGCATCGTCATCGCCATCGCCACCACCATCACCATCATCAGCATCATCATCAGCATCATCAGCATCATCATCAGCATCAGCATCATCATCATCATCATCATCATCATCATCATCATCATCATCATCATCATCATCATCATCATCATTAGCATCATCATCAACCTTATCATCAGCATCATCATCAGCACCAGTATCGTCATCAGCATCATACCAACCATGATCACCATCATCATCATCATCATCATCATCAACAACAACAACATGTTCATCCTCATCCTCATCGTCATCCTCATCATTATTTCTCATCGTCAGCATCCTCATCATTCATCATGGTCATCAGCATCATCATCACTGGGCATCATTCTTCAGCTGCATCATCACCGTCGTCACCAGACTCTGATCGTCATCAATCGGCATCATCATACTCTGAGTGCATTATCATACTCTGAGTAGGATGGGCAAGAGAGGGAGGAGGTGAGGAGGTCCGCGCGGTCAAAGTAGTAACAAGAATCCATCTTACGATATGGGCGAACAGCTCCGTTCTCATTTGTTCAATACCTTGGATCTCTGGGTCCACGCAGAGTCGTGGAGGTCCCGGGAAGCCTCTGGAGGCCCTCCGAGGCCCTCGAAGTCCTCCGCTCGCGCGCGGGCAACGAGGAGAAGCGGGCATTCGAAGAGACCGTGCGCGGGCTGTTTGCACGACAGCCTGCGCTGGGCGCCGGCGCGGCACGCCGCGTGCCGCTGGCGGCTTGCGCGAAGCCTTACGCGGGCGTCCTGCGCGCGACCCGGACCCCATCGGGCCGTGGAAGAACACGACAAGCAGTTTCGGGCTATCTGGGGGCCCTCGCCGAGCCCCGTGCCCGTAAAAACCGACTCGGGGTGAAAACCACAAGACCAGCGACCACGCTGCTCAGACAAGCAGCCGTGAGGTCCATGAGCTGGCGCCATGCGTCGCTCGTGCTGTTTTCTGGCTCGCATCGCCCACGCGGTGTTCTCGTTGATGCCATGGCCTCGCCTCCGGTCCCCAGCCCCTGGCCTCCGGGAGGTCTCCAGAAGGCCACGGAGGGCCCACGAGGCCTCCGCGAAGGCCTCCCCCCCGAAGGACCCCAGAGGTCCTCCCCGAAGGCCTCCGAGGGCATGCCCTGTTCCACTGGCGGCCTTCCTCGCTTGTCGGCCCTCGGGGGGTGGCCGGTGCCGGCTCCCAAGGCCGCCAAAGCTGGAGGCGGGGCGGAGAGCTGCTCCCAAGGGCAAGGGGGCGGGAGTCCCAGACCCCCGACGTCGCGATGTCTTCATTCCCTCCTCCTCCTCCTCCTCCTCCTCCTCCTCCTCCTCCTCCTCCTCCTCCTCCTCCTCCTCCTCTTCCTCCTCCTCCTCCTCCTCCTCCTACGACGTCGACCCCTGGAGGTCTGGACCCCTTCCTCGGGACCGGCCTTGCCTCCAGAGTCGTTCTGTTGACGGTCCTGGGGCCCGGGCGAGGGCCCCCAGAGGCCGAAGATGGCGAGGAGCCTCCCGTCGCGACCGCCTCACGGCGCGAGGGGGTCCTGGGGACTTCTGGGGCCGCGGCCCGGCGGGATCGTCTCCTGCGACGTCTGGGGCCACCGAGTGGCCACCGGAGGCGGCCGCGCGCGCGGTCCGCTCGCCTCCGGCCGACCTTCCGCGGGCAGGGCCGCCATCGGGGATGCACGACCCCGGGTCAGCAGGAGGAGGAAGAAGAGGAGGAGGAGGAGGAGGAGGAGAAGGAGCAGGAGGAGGAGGAACAGGAGGAAGAAGAGGAGGAGAAGAGCAGGAGGAAGAAGAGGAGGAGGAGGAGGAGGAGAAGGAGCAGGAGGAGAAGGAGCAGGAGGAAGAAGAGGAGGAGGAGGAGGAGGAGCAGGAGGAGAAGGAGGAGGAGGAGGAGCAAGAGGAGGAGGAGGAGGAGGAAGAGGAGGAGCAGGAGGAGGAGGAGGAGGAGGAGGAGGAGGAGGAGGAGGTTGGCCAGGGCCCTGCAGCTCCCAGGCCCAAGGCAGGGGAGGGCGGGAAGGGGGGAAGGGCCCGCGCGAGCCAGGCCCCCGACGTCGTGGTGTTTGTTGATGGTGCGTCGACCCTCGGAGGTCTCGACTCGTCCCCTGGGACCGGCTTTCCACTCTGCGTCGTTTCTTGACTGTCCTGGAGCTCGGCGAGGGCCCCCAGAAGCCGAAAATTCGAGTATGGGATCGACTAAGTACAGAATCGATTTACCCAACAATTGACTTCCTCATCGAATATACGAAAATATACGTAGCATGTTGGAAGGCCAGCGGACCAGTCTTCGTATGCGAAGCTTCGACCGAAAACCAAGTTTCGAGTAAATCGATCCTATAGTCGATCCACTACTCGAAATATGGCAAGGGACCCTCCGACACGATTGCTTCGTGGCCCGAGAGGGGGTCAGGGTCTGGGAGGGCCTCCGGCGGCGCTCTGGGGGCGCTCTGGGGGCGCTCTGGGGGCGCTCCGTCTGCGCCCCTGCTCTCCCCGGCCACCGTCCCACTTCGCGCAGTTGCCGCCATAGGCCACGGACGGCCAGTACCCGGCGCTCAGCCCGAGAGTGGAGGCGGCGACGTCGCACTCCGCGGTGTCGACCACGCAGTTCGCGGGCGCGGTGCAATCGGTCGCGAGGTAGTATGCGACGAGGCCAGGGCTCGTGCTTCCGGACGCGGGCGCGGGCGCGGGCGATCCCCCGAACGGCGTGCGCGGTGCGCCCCGGGACTCGTTGAGCGGCGAGGCCTGGGCGTCGTGCACACGGTGATAGATCGCCTGCACCTGCGTCCCCAGCGCGAGGCACGCCCACACGGCAGCACGGGCCGCAGATGGCAGTACCGAGCACATTCAGGCTCCCTGGGCCTGCCGATGTCTCGGAGAGCGGATGGAAAGAAGTGTGCAACCGTTTGGTTCGGCGAACGCTGCCAAACCAGCACGTCTTGAGAATAGAAGGCCAGGCCTCAAGCCAACCGCTGTGGACGCGCGCCGCCAGCCCCTTCTTTTCTGTGTGCGCTGCCGGCCTTCCCGGACAGCTGGGCGTCGTGACAAGGCTGTTCTCTTACAGGCAGAGTTGAGAAAGATACCCCAAACATAAAAAATAGCCAAAACAAGTTTTTGGGGTTCTAAGATCGTCCCCCGACTATGTTTTGACTATTCTTGAATTCTCCTCCTCCTATAGGGGGGCACTCCCGACTCAACGCCAGCCCCTTCTTTTTCTGCTTGTGCTGCCGGCCTCCCCGGACAGCCGGGCGTCGTAGCAGGGCCACGGCAGGCATTGGCAGGCCCCCGGCGCAGTCAGTGGCACAGCCCATGGGCAACCTCATGGCGCAGTCCTCCTCTCCTCCTCCTCCTCCTCCTCCTCTCCTCCCTCCTCCTATCCTCCTACTCATCCTCACTCTCCTCCCATCCTCCTCCTCCTCCTCCTCCTCCCCCTCTCCTCCTCCTCCTCCTCCTCTCCTCCTCCTCATCCTCCTCCCTCCTCCTCCTCTCCTCCTCCTCCTCCTCCCTCCTCCTCCTCCTCCTCCTCCTCCTCCTCTCTCCTCCTCCTCCTCCTCCTCCTCCTCCTCCCTCCTCCTCCTCCACCTCCTCCTCCTCCTCTCCTCATCCTCCTCTCCTCCTTCCTCCTCCTCCTCGTTCATTCCTCCTCCTCCTCCTCCTCCTCCTCCTCCTCGCGACGCGTGGATGGCGCAATCCATGGATCCCGAAGCTTATGGAACAGCCAATGGATCGCCCAACCCATGGCGCAACCCATAGATGACGCAACCCATCCCATGACAACGTCGGCGCTGGCCTCTGGCACCGCGTGGATCGCTCCACCGTCGAACGATCGCAGCCTTCCTTCAGCGAAGATCCTGCGACGTCGGCCCATCCCAGGCCGCCAGCGGCGCCCAACCTCGAACGCCCGCGCTGGAGCCGCTGCCGCGTGACCGCGGCGCGAAACTGCCGGGCGTTCTGCTGCACCGCTCCCTGCCCCCAGGGACCCTCGCGGACCGATCCGGCCCAAGAAGAGGCCCCGCGCAGTGGCCGCCCCCACGACCAAGAGATCCGCCCCGAGCCTGCCCCCAGACCCTGCCCGGGCTCCATCGTGACCCGCCTCCCCTGACCTTCCAGGAGGGCTAAAAAATAGCACCCGACGTAAAAACCTATCCCAGAGCTACTTTACGTCTTGGTTTTAGGCTGTTTCGTCTCGTTTTTTAGGTTTTTAGGTTCCCAGTGCTAAAAAATAGCTCTCTGGAAGGTCAGGGTCCCCAGACCCCCGAAGCCGTGACTCTTTCGCAGCGTCTGGACCCCTTCCCCGGGACCGGCGCTTCCTCCGGAGTCGCTCCTGGACGGCCCCGGGGCCCGGCAACGGCCCCCTCGAGGCCGACGAGGGCGAGAAGCCTCCCGCCGTGGCTTTTGTCACGACGCGAGGGGGTCTGGCTCCCAAGCCATGCCCGGCCGAGGCGACGAGAACCTCCAGCCTCGGGACACGCCCGAGCACTTCCGCGGCGGCGGCCCCGAGAAGCTCCGTCGCTGCCCACGGGGGTCGGCGAGGCCCTCGCCGCCCGGAGGCCTCCGCGAGGGCCGCCCCCCTCGAAAAACAAAGGGTCGGCCGGGGCGCCGCTCGCCCCGCTCTGCCCGCTTCCCCGCGCAGGGCCACGAGCGGCAAACGCATCCCCACGCCGGCGCCCCCCCCCCGCCGGGATCCCGGGGCGCGGCCCCGTGGAAGCGCGGCCGCCTGGCCCGCCCACCCACGACAGGGAAGGGGCCTCCTCCTCCTCCTCCTCCTCCTCCTCCTCCTCCTCCTCCTCCTCCTCCTCCTCCTCCTCCTCCTCCTCCTCCGTTTATTGTTATTATTATGTTGCTTCTTCTGAGTAACAGTAAAGTGATTATTCGTAAGAGTCTTAATAATATGCTGACAATCCCACCAGCCCTCTGGGCTTAGGTGGTATAACGTGTTTTTCCTTCTCTCTTCCACTGAAACCCCTCCCCCTACCCCCTCCCCTGGGCCAGGAAGGGGAGGGTACCGAGGCGTTAGAGCGTCCAAGATGGCCCAAGATTGCTCCAAGAGGGTTTCGAAGTCGCAAGATGGCCTCCAAGATGGCCAATACTACTTCAAGATGGGTCAGGATAGCCTCCGACATACCCCCAAGAGCTCCCAAGATAGCCCCAAGACGGATCCAAGTGCCCTTCGAGCCCTCCACGGCGCCCTCCAAGATGCCAAAACCGTTCAAAACCCTTATGGAAAATCAATGTTTTTGGCATTATCGCCTTTTCGCTTCCGATGGGCTTTGGAAGCCTCAAGATGGCCCCAAGATGGCCCAAAAGAGGCCCAAGAGGGGCCCAAGAAGGCCGAAGGCGGCCCCAAGATCGCCCAAGAGGCGCCCGAGAGCGCTCCAAGAGGGCCCCAAGATGCCGTTTGAGAGCCTCCGAGGGGGGAGGCCGAACTTCTCCCCTCCCTCTTTTTGAGCCATGGGGCCCAAGATGGCCCCAGGAGGCCTCCCAGCCTCTCCCAAAGACCCTCCACCCCGCCCTTTTTGGCCCAAGATGGCTCCAAGAGAGCCCCAGATAGCCCAAGATGGCCTTCAAAATGGCCTAAGATAGCCAAGCATGGCTCAAGATAGCTTCCGACAGCCCTCCAAGAGGCCTCAAGGCAGCCTCAAGATGGCCCCAGATAGCCGAGCATGGCTCAAGATAGCATCCGACAGCCTCTAGCCGAGCATGGCTCAAGATAGCCTCCAAGAGGCCTCAAGAAAACTGGCAATCAACTATGGATGGGCTGGTGGGGATACGCGAAGCGTCAAGAATCGTGAATATTATTATCACCATCCTTAGTATCACTGTCATTACTAATGCTATGTATGATTATTCGTATTACTGATATTAATATGTGTGTTTATTACAAATGATCGTCTTATTATTGCACTGCTCATTGTATTAGTAGTGTTCATATTATTGGTATGATGCGAATTCTCCTGATGATTATCAAATGAGTTGTTGGTGAAGTACATGGTTGTCGAATACACTCCTGTCTGATAAATTACATGGGATTCGAATACCCTCCTCGTTCAGGCGGGAACTCCCTGGAGGTGTAGGAGGGGCACGAAACCTGATAAGTAACATTGGTTTCGAATACCCTCCTCGCCGCTCAGGCGGGGCCTCCCTGGAAGAGTGGGAGGGGCACGAAACATAATAAATAACATGGTTTTCGAATCCCCTCCTCGCTCAGGCGGGGCCTCCCTGGAGGACTGGGAGGATAACGACACCTGATAAATAATATGGTATCCCGATGCTATCCTCGCTCAGGCGGGGCCTCCCTGAAGGAGTGGGAGGGGCACGACACCTCAGAAAGAGCATGGTTTGCGAATACCCTCCTCGCTCAGGTGGGGCCTCCCTGGAGGAGTGGGAGGGCAACGAAACCTAATCCATGAGAGGATTTCCAAATACCCTCCTCGCTCAGGCGGGGCCTCCCTGGAGGAGTGGGAGGGGCACGAAACATAATAAAACATGGTTTTCGGATACCCTCCTCGCTCAGGCGGGGCTGGAGGAGTGGGAGGGGCACGGAACCTTATAAATCATATGCTTTCCGAAGACCCTCCTCGCTCAGGCGGAGCCTCCCTGGAGGTGTGGGAAAAGGGGCACGAAACGTGATAAATAAAATGGTTGTCGAATACCCTCGCTCAGGCGGGGCCTCCCTGGAGGAGTGAGAGGGGCACGATACCGAATAAATAACTATGTTTTTGAATAGCCTCCTCGCTCAGGCGGGGCCTCCCTGGAGGAGTGGGAGGGGCACGAAACCTGATAAATAACTATGCTTTTGAATAGCCTCCTCGCTCAGGCGGGGCCTCCCTGGAGGAGTGTGAGGGGCACGAAACCGAATACATAGCATGGTTTTCGAATACCATCCTCGCTCAGGCGGGGCCTCCCTGGAGGAGACGGAGGGGCACGAAACCTGATAAATAACGTTGTTTTGAATACCCTCCTCGCTCAGGCGGGGCCTCACTGGAGGAGTGGGAGGGGCACGAAAACTAATAAAAAGCATGGTTTGCGAATCTCATCCTCGCTCTGGCGGGGCCTTCCTGGTGGGGTGGGAGGGGCACGAAACCTTCTAAATAGTATGGTATCCCGATACTGTCCTCGCTCTGGGGTGAACTCCCTGGAGTGGTAGGTATGGTGTGGTAGCTTTGGTATGGTATGTGTGGTATGGTATGGTAGGTATGGTATGGTAGGTATGGGATGGTAGGTATGGGATCGTATGGCATGATATGGTAAGTATGGTATGGTATGCTAGGTTTGGTATGGTAGGCATGGTCGGTATGGTATGGTATGGTAGGTATGGCATGGTAGGTGTGGTATGGTAGATATGGTATGGTCGGAGGTTTGGGGGTGAGATCGAAGTGGAACAGAGAGCCCCCCACTGGGAAATCGATTTCGGTTTCGTGTTCGCGCGTGCCGTGCGTGCGGGCGAGGCGAAGCTGCGTGGGCGGGCGAGAGGAAAGTCTCCTGTGGCTGAGGCGCGGCCGGACCAAATGATTCTCCCTCCGGCAAGCGGTGGCCCGCGGTGGCCCGCCAGTGTCCCGCCGGTGTCCCGCTTGTGGCTGGGTCCCGGCCGGACCAAATGATTCTCCCTCCGGCAAGCGGTGGCCCACGGTGTCCCGCTGGTGTCCCGCCGGTGTCCCAGTGTCCCCCTGGTGCGAAAACGATAGTGGGACCGATGACGAAATCGATTGTGAGATCGATAGTGAGATCGATAGTGATACCGGTAGTGAGATCGATCGTGAGATCGATAGAGAGATCGATAGTGAGATGAATAGTGATATCGATTGTTAGATCGAGTGATATCGATAGGGAGATCGATAGTGGGATCGACAGCGAGATCCAGAGTGAGATCGATAGTGGGATCGATGGTCCCAAGAGCGAGCGGCAACGCAACAATCACCACTGTTGCCCATTGCTGGCCCCCCTCCCCTCCCCAACCTCCTTATCACACGCAGGGTGGTCGTATAGGTAGGTAGGTATGGTATTGGTGTGGTACGTTTTGGTATGGTGTAGTAGGGAGGTGGGAGGAGGAGACAGAGAAGGATGAGAAGGAGAAGGAGAAGGTCTTCTCTGAAAACAAGAGCCTCACCCAGGATGTGAGGAACAATGTTATTTATCAGGTGTCGTGCTCCTCCCACTCGTCCAGGGAGGCCCCGCCTGAGCGAGAAGGGCATTCGAAAACCATAATTATAGATCAGGTTTCGTGCCCCTCCCACTCCTCCAGGGAGGCCCCGCCTGAGCGAGGAGGGCATTCGAAAACCATCCTATGCATTAGTGCTCGTGCCCCTCCCACTCCTCCAGGAAGGCCCGCCTGAGCGAGGAGGGTATTCGAAAACCATGTAACGTGTCAGGTTTCGTGCCCCTCCCACTCCTCAAGGGAGGCCCCACCTGAGCAAGGAGGGTATTCACAAACAATGTTGGTTATCAGGTTTCGTTGCCCTCCCACTCCTCCAGGGAGGCCCCGCCTGAGCGAGGAGGGAATTCGAAAACCATGTTATTTGTCAGGTTTCGTGCCCCTCCCACTCCTCCAGGGACGATATTTCTTGAACAGCCGTCGTCTTCCTCCCTGCTGCTGCACCTCCTTGCCTTCGTCTGCCGTTTCTTTCGCAGGTACCCTTGCGATGCCCTTCCTCCTCCTCCTCCTTGTCCTCCTCCTCCTCCCCCATCCTCCTCCCCCCCTCCTCCTCTACTCCTCCTCCTCCTCCTCCTCCTCCTCCTCCTCCTCCTCCTCCTCCGCTCCTCCTCCTCCTCCTCCTCGCTCCTCCTCTCCTCCTCCTCCTCCTCCTCCTCCCTCCTCCTCCTCCTCCTCCTCCCCTCCTCTCTCCCCTCCTCCTCCTCCTCCTCCTCCTCTTCTCCTCCTCTCCTCCTCCTCCTCCTCCCATCCTCCTCCTCCTCCTCCTCCTCCTCCTCCTCCTCCTCCTCTCCTCCTCTCCTCTCCTCCTCCTCCTCCTCCTCCTCCTCCTCCTCTCCTCCTCCTCCTCCTCCTCCTCCTCCTCCCCTCCTCCTCGTCCTCCTCCTCCTCCTCCTCCTCCTCTCCTCCTCCTCCTCCTCCCCTCCTCCTCCTCCGCCTCCTCCCATCCTCCTCTCTCCCTCTCCTCCTCCGCCTCCTCCGCCTCCTCCTCCTCCTCTCATTCTCCTCCTCCGATTTCTCCTCGTCCTCGGTCCCCTCCTCCTCCTCTCCTCCTCAACCTCCCCTCCTCCTCCCCCCTCCTCGCCTCCTCCTCTCTTAGTTTTATTATATTCCTTCCTCCTCCTCCTCCTCCTCCGCCTCCTCCTCCTCCTCCGTCCCTCCCCCCCTCCCTTCCTCTGAGGGTCAGCGCAGGTTCCCACTGCAGGGGAACAGCGACGTCGGAGGCAACCCCGACGGGTAGAGACGCAGACGCAGATGTAAAGATTCAGATCGAGGCTTGGAGTTGAACATATTATCGGTCCTCCAATAGGGCTTCGAAGATGGCGACGATGGCCCAAAGATGGCCTCCCCGACGCCTCCAAGACGGCCAAGATGGGCCCAAGAAGGCCCAAGACGATTCGAAGACAAGCCCAACTGGCCTCAAGGCGGTCCAAGAGGCCCCCGAGACAGCCTAGGAGGGCTCCATGAGCCCCTCCAGCAGGGTCCGAAGAGGCCAAAATCTGCGATTCCCGAAATGATTTCCCGATGTCCTGAACTAGAACCATGCGCGCTTCGCGCGCTTGGATTGTAGCCCAAGCCCCGGCAAAGCCAACGTCATATCAATCAGCGGATGCGCACGCACGCAAACTTTAGGACCCCTCTCTGTTCACTGACGCCCTCCACGATAGCCCCAGAAGGCCCTCCAGGGCTCCCAAGAGGACCCCAAGAGAGCCCTAAGAGGGCCCCAAGACCGAGACACCCCAAACGAGCTCCAAGAGGACCCCAAGATCCCCCAAAAGAGCCTCAAGAGGGCTCCAAGAGAAGACTTTGATGGCTCTGTCCTCGTCATCGTTGTCCTCCTCCTCCTCCTCCTCCTCCTCCTCCTCCTCCTCCTCCTCCTCCTCCTCCTTGCCCTCATCGTCTTCCTTTTCCTTTTCCTCCTCTTCCTCGTCGGCGTCGTGGCCATCGTCGTCGTCTTCCTCCTCCTGCTCCTTCTCCTCCTCCTCCTCCTCCTCCTCCTCCTCCTCCTCCTCCTCCTCCTCCTCCTCCTCCTCCTCCTCCTCCTCCTCCTTCCATCGCCCCCACGCGGGCTCCAGGAATGGCCCGAAGAGGCCAACCAAGGCCACCCCCTTGCTCCAGAGATCTCTCTGTTCACCATGGTTGCCCGCTTTGTTTCAGTCTCTTCGTCCCTTTTTCCTGTCAGCTCTCCTGGGCAGGGTTTCTGCACGGGCTGGTGGGGACACGCGAAGCGTGAGCACTAGACAAAGACCCTCCGCCCACATGTTTCACAATGGACACAAAACCTGCCGTCGAGATTTTTTACGGCGCGACCAGGACTAGCTTCGGGAGCCAACGACTGGCACCCTTACCTGTCCCCGGAGCCCTCTGGCTGGAAGGTGGACCGTGGAGAGGAGACCAGCCGTGGCCACGAGGCCGCTCCAGGAGGCCGACAAAGTGCCAGAAAATCGCCCGAAGGCCTCGAACCTGGAACTCGGGCGCAAGCCAACATAGAGTGAGGATCACCCAATGGATCCTTGATATATGTTGGCTTGCGCCCGAGTTCGTGGATCAACTCGGATAAACTTCAATGGGTCCCCCAATGGAGCCAATTTTCACCGATCTGTGGATCTGGCGCGTGGGCGCCAGATCCACAGATCGGTGAAAGTACCCCCCGAAGAAGGAGGCCTGCGCCGCCTGACTTGAGGACGGAGCGCGCCGATGTCGTATGCTCGAACCTTCGCTGGTCCACGCGCCGGAATGCATGTCTGCGCTTCCTCGAAGAACCTCGACGGGGGTCTGGGCCCACCCCCCTGAGATCCGACGTTGCGAACAGATTGCAACAGCGTAATAAGCCGATGCATATGTATATACTGATATGGAAACAACAACGACAACAACATCAATAATTCGCCGGCCCAACGGGCCAGAGGCGTGCTTAGATCTCCGGTAACTGGTTAACAATTCTCTAGTTCGCGCGCGCGGGGCGGCCCCTGGGGGTCCCCGGACGAAAAGTACCCCGGGCGATCCCCGACCGATCCCCGGGAGACTCCCCCAGAGCGCTCCAGGAGCGCTCCATGAGCGCACCAACAGGGCTCCGAGACGTCCCCGAGAGCCCCAAGAAAGGCCAAGAGGCCCACAAGAGGCCCCCAAGATGGTACACGAGGGGTCCGACATGCCACAAGATCGCTCCAAGACGCCCAAGATAGCCCCCAGACGCCCCAAGAGGCCTCCAAGAGCACTCCCAAGAGGGCCCCCGGAGGCAAAATTCATTGTTTTTCCTTAGGTTTTTGAGAGAGTTTGGAGCTTCCACCTTTTCGGCTTCCCGACGCCCCAAGACGGCCCAAGAGGCCCCCAAGATCGCCCCAAGAGGGCCCAAGAGGCCCCCAAGAGGGCCCCAAGATGGCCCAAGAGGGCCCAAAATAGAGAGGCCAAGAAAGCCCACGACGGTCCAGACGAGGGCTCCCAAAGAAAACGCCCCCAAAGGGGCCCCAGAGAGGGAACACGAAACACATTTCGATCCCAAAAATCGGCCCTAAAGGAGCCCCTACGAGGTCCCCAAGAGAGGCCCCTAAGAGGCCCCAAAGCGGTCCCCAGCATTTCGTTAGTACCCTCGGAGGCCCTCCTCATACGGGGGCCCCCCATGCAATTGCGGCCGCTTGGTTTCATAGAGGCAGACCCTCCTCCAAGCTTCAAGACCCCCTCGAGCGCCCCAGGAGTCCCCCAAGCGGCCCCAGGAACCCCCAAAGCGCCGCATTGACACCAGGCCCTCGGGCAAACGGCAGACATGAGACTGTATGGGCCGGCGGAATGAGCGAAGCGATTAAATAATCTTAAGACTTTTCGCCCTTATATGCTCGAGTTGCGCGGAGTGGGCGTCAGCCGAACGGACTGTAACATCCTTTTGACTTGAGCCAAAGCGTCAACGACAGGTCACCAGTCCTGATGCTGCTAAGCTGCTGCTGCTGCTCGTGCTGCTGTACACTGTGCTGCACAAGCCCCTCTGCTACAACATCATACTACCACGCAGGACCCTAATGTGTCAGCCAGATTTGGACTACATTGCCCCTGACATCCCAGAAACCGCCGCACCTCCTCTCGACTCGCGCATGCTCAATCGCAAGTCGACTCGGCGTCTGTCAGGCTGTAGTCCTCGCGTGCTCAAGGCGCACGCTTCCGAAACGCACCGATGCTGCCCGATCTGCTTTGCAGGCCTGGCCAGGACTTAAACACTCCGAGAAGAGCCATCGGCGCGAATCCACGTTCAAAACTGCCTCACTCGTTTGACCCGAGGCCAGTGCTGAGGCCTCACCAGGCGCACCTGGTCGATCTCCAACAACTTCTGAACACAGTGGCCCTTCAGCTTCGGGATCGCCTTTACGCCCCTGGTGAGCAGCTCCTTCTGCAGGTCGTTCAGCAGCCACTCCCAGTACGGAATGATCTCGAGCTCCTCCGTCTGCGTGGACTCCACACAGCGCCGTTCACCAGTGGCGCTCCTCGGCGAGCAGCACCTTCCCACGGCATAGCCACACGCGAGCCCCAGGAACAACAAGAGCACGCCCATGCCGATGAGGGCTACCAGCACCCAGCTCTCGAAGACACTCCCGCTGGTCCGATCCATCGCCCCGTCGTACTTGTACAAGCCGACGCTGCAATCGTTTGCTGCAGTCGCCTTCTCACACGCCGCTGCCACTACCCAGCAGCCCCAGCCCCCAGGAGGCCGCAGCGACGTAGTCTTCATCAACTTGGTCACCCTCTGTATGTCGACCATCTTGGTGCCCAGGTCCGCCTCGTTGGACTCCCCAGGCTTCACGCGCATCTCGATCGTGCCGTCTGCGCACAACTCTTGTAGCCACAACAGGCGCGCGTCTAGATGACGCACTCGACCCACACCACGTCTTGTGGCCATTGACCGTCCAGCCGACGAGTCCGCCTCGCAGATCACCTTCTTGACCCAGCCGTACTCGGCGAGCGCGCTCCTGACCTCCAACGCATGTGCAGCTCCTTTCGTTATCGATATGTACTCACTCTCCGCCGTCGATAAGGCCACTATCTGTTGCGTCGAGGAATAGGCTTCGAGTAGATGGCTTCCGAAGTATACCCAGCCAGCAGAGGTAGAACGCAATGCCTCCAGCTCGCCTGCCCAGTTCGCGTCCGTGACCACTCTCACGTCCTCTGGCATCTTCTGGTAGTTGAACTCCCACACGAGCAACGGCACCTCCGAATAGTACTTGCACAACCGCTTGAGGGCACACCAGGCCGATCTCGTTGGTGTCGACATGTAGCGAGCGACTTCCTTCGTCGCGTACTGCGCCTCGGGACGGTCTTGACCGACGTAGAGCGCCGTCCCCACGAGCGCTCGGTATAGCGCTGTTCCTTCTTCGTCAAGGGGGTCTGCAGCATCACGAGTCTTGCCCACCGTCTTGGAGCCCGGCGCGACCGTCACGACCCACTTCTCCTGGTCCAAACGCGTCTGCCCGTCGAAACCGAAAGCCTTGGCCATCGCCACGGTGTGAGTCGGGTCATGCGCCCATGTAAAACCCTTCGAACTCCATGAAAGCGTCCTGTGCAGGAACGCCGCACTGGACTTGCAGTTGGGCCCCACTCGCTCGCAGATCTTCACCTTGAACACTTCCCTCATCAGCTGCTCGAGGTCGTCAGCGCTGTCGTTCGGCAGGGCGTAGATGAAGTCGTCGCCCCAGTGAACCCCCAGCGCCTCTAGCTCGCAACTCCAGTACAAGCACGGGACCACCGCGTTCCTGTCGAAGCCGTGCTCGCTCAGGTTGTCCGCCACGTACGTCTGGAACACCTGGCTCGCGTCCCTCGTCCCATACAGGCTCCGAAGCAGCCCCCACACCTTGCCCTTCTTGCGCAGGTCCTTCGGCGGTACCACGTACAGGACCTTCCGCACCAGGCCGTGGAAGAACGCCACCGAGATGTCGAACAGCAGCAGGATCATCTTGGCCCCCGCGCTGTTCCTTCTGGGACTGTAGCTCGCCGCCCACGCCAGTATCAGTCTCACGAACTTCAACGGCGGCGTCGCATAAATAAAAAAAACCAAAGCAAGAGGTATAGGGAGTAAATTTCAAGTATGCATATATCAAATCTAGGAAAAACCGCTCAGCAAAAAAAAAAAAAAAACATATTCAGTAATTAGCAGAACCTGAAAAACAAAAAGAAATCCGTTTCTCCGCTCCTCTGACCTCGAGCCGTGTTGATCTCGGTCCGTGCTGACTCAGTCTATAGCTGCGCTGACTCTCGCGCGGTGTTGCTCTCGTCCTTCCGCGTCCTCCACCCGACGCGGTTCGTCCAGATCTCTCCCTCCTTGCTCTCATCGCGGGACTCGGCCACCTCGACCATATCATCCTCGTTCGGTAGGCTGTCCGCCAGGTCGCGCAGCTCCTTGGACCTCCCTTTGCGCACCTCTTCGCTGTCTAGCTGCTCGCCAGTCCTCGAGTCGTACGCCACGATCCCTTCCGCCGACGCGGGGTCCTCGTAGTTCACCTCGCCAATCATGTCGCTCTGGCTGTCGTCGGAGATGGTCTCGTAGTTGCTGTCGTCCATCGCCGCGAGCCGCCACTCGTCCTCCTCTGGGATGAGCATCGCCACCACGTCCACGCCATCGATCACGTGCAGGCCCCCGATCATCACGTCGTCGGTGCTGGACCTCGCCTCGCTCTCGCTGACGACGACCGTGCCTGCGCCTCCCACGGCTGGGATCGCCACAGGGGGTTGCGACCTCACCTTCGCCGTCGGGCGCTCGGGGGCCGCCTGCGGAAAGGCCTCCGCCGCGGACCGACCCCTCCGTGGCGAAGTGTCCGCTCTGTCGACCTCCATGCCCTCGGCCGCGGCCCCTCTGCCGCCGTCGCCCCCAGCCGGTGTCCTGGGAGCGTCGCCGCTCGCTGCCGACGATGGTTCCGCAGCGCCTGCGGGCGGCCCTGGGTCTGGTCTCGCCGTCAGCGGCGTGCCGACTGCGATGCCTCTCGGCCCTGCCGCCGCGTCTGCCACCAACTTCTCCAGCCGCGCTCGACACGCCTCAGTATGTGGCCCCAGCCCCGCGCAGCCCGAGCACCCAGGCGTAGCCCCGTACTTCTGCACGATCGCCCTCGTCAGGTAGAGCCTCCTGTGCCCTGATGGCCCCTGGTCCTGCTGCGACACGATCGGCGCCTTCAGATCCGATGCCGTGCCGTTCCACGGCAGACCCTTCACCTTCGCCAGCTCCTCCTTCACGTACCGCTCATCGACTGGCAGTCGATGTACCGATCTCGCTTTCTTCACGCCGTCCACGGTCAGAACGAGGTGTTCGTCCGTCAGCGGTGCCTTGCCGACCCACACCCCGTGCGCCCACTTCTGGTCCAGGTTGCCGCTGGGCACCGCCGTGTACTTGTACATCACGCGCTCGCCGAAGGGAAGCACCTCCCCGCCGTAGGCCTTGCCGAAGATCCGCACGTAGGGGGTACGGCCGTCGCTCTTCACCTGGAACCTCGTCAAGCTCCATGCCGCGTGCCTGACCCCCCAGGCGATCAGGATGCTGTCGGTCGACACCTTCTCGCCCATGTGCTCCTCCATGTTGATCCAAATCGCTCTCAGGACGCCGTTAATGACCCTGTTCGCGCCCTCTATCTTGCCCTGGCTCTGGTGGCTGCCTCTCGGCCCATGCCTGACCAGAGTCCGCTTCACCCTCTTGCTCTGCACCGCCTTCAGCAACTGCACCAGCACTGGCTCCTGGTCCGAGTGAAGCAGTACCGCGTTGTGGCCCAGCGCGTCCACGAACGCCAGGATCGTCTCCACCAGGTACTCGCTGAAGGCCTTACTGGGGCACAGAGTCGCCGACAAGCTCTCCGACCCGACGTCCACTCCGTTGAGGGACGGAATGCCAGGGCTGGCATCCGATTCTCGTCCGATCTCCGCGAAATCGAACTCGATGCGTGGGATCGCTGCCTCCTCTGCGCTCAGGCCCGTCGGGTCCTCGCTTCGTCGATGAGGTTTGTCCGCCGCCCTCGCCGCCACGCAGTGGCTGCACCAGCTCCTGTAGGGTACGTGCCCCGCGGACTCGTGTTGAGCCCGTTCCTCTGCCGTCGGCGTGGCTGGTCCTGTCGGCACTTTGATGCGGACTGCTGGATCTCCATCTTCTGCAAGCGTGGCCTCGGCTGCTGGTCCAGCCGCCCCGAACGCCGCGTGTTCTCTGGCCAGCGCTCTCTGCTCGATCTCCGCCTGCGTCAAAGGGTTGAGCTCCAGCGCGTCCGAGCCTCCGATCTTCGAAGGCCGAGCGATCGCGTAGAACAAGTTGCCCTTCCTGATCAGCTCCAACTCCTTGCCGTCTTTGACGATCCACGACTTGCCCTTCGTGAAGTAGGCGTCGCACCCCGACTCGACCATCGCGCCCAGCGACCAGATCGGCCTCTTCACGTCTAGCACCCTGTAGTCCGTCGTGATCTTACCGAACTCCGTCTCATATGAAACCCGACGTCGCCCGTGCTGCGCAATCAGCTCGCCAGTCGCCGTTGTCATCCGCCTCGGATGTGCTTCCTCTCGCAGGCCGTTCTCCGACACGTGATCTCGAGGACATACGTTTGCCGAGGCGCCCGAGTCGATCATGATGAGTTCGCACAGCTCGTCGCCCTCGAGCTCCTCGTCGACCATGAACACCCAGCCGTCGTCCTGCTGTACCGTGTTGACCGCCGCGGCCGTCCCCGAGCCTCCAGCGTGTCCCGCCTTCTTCTTCTCCTCGAGCCACGTGGTGAACTTCGGGCAGTCCTTGCGCTCGTGGCCCTTCTCTTTGCAGAAGAAACACTTCCTCTCCTTCTTGCTGGCCTCGACTTTGTTCTTGTCTTTGCCATCTCCCTTGCCTTTGCCTCTGCCGCCGTCCTTACCCTTGCCATCTCCTTTGCCTTTGCCTCTGCCGCCATCCTTACCCTTACCTTTGCCGCCATCCTTGCCCTTGCCCTTCGAGGTAAGCGCGTCTACCTCCATGGGGGCCGAGTCGCCATCGACACCCCAACGCCTCTCCGCTTGGTGCACCGCCTTCCACTCGTCCTTCAGTGACGTGTAGTCCTGCAATCTCGTCGCGTTGAGGCCGACGTGCCTCCTCCACTCAGGGTCCTCAGGGTTGTTCGAGATCACCGCCGCCTTGATGGTCTCCTGGATGATGTCGCCAGACTGCGCCTCGTACTGCCTGACGAGCCTCTCGAACTCCTCGATGGCTAGCCCGCGGTCACCTGTGAACTGGTACTGGAGGATCTGCATCAGCATCGCCCTGAAGCGACCCTTGTGGGCCGGCTCGAACTCCTCCAAGAACCTCCGCCAGATCTCGTAGCCGTTGCTGGGGTCTGGCAGCTTCGTGACCATCTGCAACGCCACGTCCTTCGTGTGCATGGTGAGGATGAACGCCAGCTGCCTGGCTCTCCTCTGGGCTTCGGCGGCCATGTCGTTCATCGTGAGCTCTCTCGACGGGTTCACGTCCACGTCGAGCACCTCCGCGCGCAGCGTCTCGTCTATCGCCGACAGGTACTGGCGCATCTTGAACGACCAGTTCTTCCACTCCTTGGCGTCTCCTGTGAAGACCTCGGGCTTGTTGCCTACTCGCAGGTCCACCAACGAGATCGGCGCGCCTGCTCGCGCTTCTCCTGCTGGCTGCTGAGCTGCTGCGCCGTTGCCTGCGGCCCGCACCGCCGCCAGCTCGTTCTGCGCCGCCGTGAGCTGCGCCTGCTGCGTCTCGATCACCGTGCGCTGCTGCCGCTGTTGCTCTTCAAGCTGAGCCAGCCTCTGCGTGAGCGCCTCCATCGCTCTCTATCGTGTCCACGATCTCTATCGTGTTCACCCCGCTCTCTATCGTGTCCACGACCTCGATCGTGTTCACCCGCTCTCTATCGTGTCGACCACGACCTCTATCGTGTTCACCGCCACGCTCTCTATCGTGTCGACCACGACTCGTCTATCGTGTTCACTAACACGCTCTCTATCGTGTCAACCACGGCTCCAGGCTACCATGCGCGGAGTGGGCGTCAGCCGAACGGACTGTAACATCCTTTTGACTTGAGCCAAAGCGTCAACGACAGGTCACCAGTCCTGATGCTGCTAAGCTGCTGCTGCTGCTCGTGCTGCTGTACACTGTGCTGCACAAGCCCCTCTGCTACAACATCATACTACCACGCAGGACCCTAATGTGTCAGCCAGATTTGGACTACATTGCCCCTGACATCCCAGAAACCGCCGCACGAGTGTCCAATAACGTGTATTTCCCACACCCTCGATACCCGCCCTCTTCGTCTTCGATCGAACCCCTTTTGGGGGGTATACCGTTCTTCCCTGCAGGCCGGGCCCCGGCAAGCGGCGGGGCGGCCGCGGACCGTCGGCCTGGCCAGCGGCAGCGCTGATCGGCGGGGCGGCCGCGGACCGTCGACCCGACCCCAAGAGGGACGGACAGGGGACCGACCACGACGACGACGACGACGATGACGACGACGACGACAACGACGTCGAAGACGACGGCGACGACGACGACGACGGCGACGACGAGCGAAAGCAAGAGCGAGAGAGAACGACAGCAGGGCCACGAAGGGCACGAAGTAGGCCACGAAGGGCGACAGCGGGGACACGAAGGGAATGCGTATGGGGCCACGAAGAGCGCGAACGAGCGGGGGCCACGAAGTGCAGATAATGCGGGGCCACAGAAGGCAACTATGGGGCCACTGAGGGTAGCAACTGGGCCACGTAGGACAGTGAGGGGGACACAAATGGCGACAGCGGGGCCACGAAGGGCATGCACATGGGGCTACAACGGGCGCGACTCCTGGGTGCCTGGGTGTCGGGAGCGCGGCGCTTGGGCAAATTGCAAGAAATTCCAACGCAAGGCTATTCTTCAGTAAGTTGCAAGCAAGTCTCCAGCGCGCGACTCCAGAGCGCGGGGAGAGCAATTCCTGAATAAATTGTGAGGAAGTCCCAAGCGAGAGCGCGATTCCTGAATAAAATGCGAGGAAGTCTCGGGCGGGAGCGGGGGCCATGGCTAAATTGTAAGGAAGTATTAAGCGGGAGCCGTTGTTGTTGTAACCCGGGGGCCAGGGGCCCAGTTTGAGCATGAAGACTTTCCATGTCCAAAAACAGGGTGCGAGCGTCGAGGGGCACACTCGGATTGAGAACAAACAGTATGCACCGGTGGGGGGATCAACAATAATTACTCTTCAGGAATGAGAATTCTTCAACAACAACAACAACATCACCAACAACAACAACAACAACAACTCCAACTCCAACAACAACAACAACAACAACAACAACAATCAGTTTAAGACTGTTCGCTCCTACCTGCTCACGTGCCAATCAGTACGTATATCCCAAGCTTTCGGTACCCGCCCTCGTCATCTTCGATCGTACCCCGTTGGGGGTATGTCTTCCTTACCTGCCACGTGCATTAGTGCAGCCCCTAAAACAGGGGACGAGAAGACGGGTGGAAGGGGGAAGGAGAAGAATGGAGCACGAGAGAAATTAGCAGGAGGGGGGCAAGGAGCAGAAAACAAGTGGTAGAACCAGACGAGCAGATCAGGTGGGCAGACCCATAGCGGCCAGATCGGGAAGGTGGGCCCAGGCGACCAGGTCGAGCAGGCGGGTTGCTGAACCTTGGGTCCTGCATGAATCGCGAGGAAGTCTCGAGCGATAGCGCGATTCCCAAGTAAATCGTGAAAAAGCCAAAAGCGAGAGCGTGATTCCTGAGCGCCGAGAGCGCATCGTCTGAATAAATTGCGAGGAAATCCCCTGCGAGAGCGCGATTCGTATATGATGTTTGAGGAAGTCCCGTGCGAGAGCGCGATTCTTCAAGAAATTGCGAGGAAATATCAGGCGGGAGCCGTTGTTGTTGTTGCTGTTGTTGTTGTTGCTGTTGTTGTTGTTGTTGTTGTTGCTGTTGTTGTTGTTGTAGCTCGGGGGCCAGGGGCGCACTTTGAGCAGGAAGGTATTCCCTGATAAACTGTAAAAAAAGCCGGGTGCGAGCCCCAGCAAGGGCACTCCAATTAAAAAACACATACGTTACCGCAAGGGAGGGATCAACAATAACTATTCTTTAGAAATGAAAATTCACCCGCAAAAAACTCGCCCAGGCCCCATTCTTCTCAGAGTCCCCCGAACATGGACCTCGATAAAGCAGGACATTGGCGGGCCAGAGTTCAAGCCACCAAACAGGCAAACCACCTGATACATTCCCAGAATCTGGATGCGAACGGGAATGTCTGCACTGGGGTGCTGAAACCAACGCCTCGCTCGAGACATCCTCACAACCCGTTCTGAACGCACCGAAGTCCGGGCCACCTGTTGAAGCCATTCTCGGGGCCTTTTGGACCGTCTTGGCAAGTCAGTGAGCCGACAATGCGAGGATGCTGGGATTTTTTGGCCCTGACTTTCTGATGCACACCTCGAGCCGCATCGACCTGTGAAAGGTTCCCCTGCCCTGAAACACTGGAAAAAGAAGGCCCAGCGTGGAAAAACTGCGGCGCGCCTGGTAGATGGGCCCGCCAGGCCCGAAGCTTCGCCATCGCTGGAGGCTTGAAAATGGACACCAACACCAAAACAGGGGGGTGCGCTCACTGGGGGGGAGGATGGTCCTAAATCTTGGTGTTGGTGGTAATATTTCGGCCACCTGGGAAGTCCAAATATTACCAGCACCACCTAGGTCGGGATCATCTTTCCTCGGTGGAGCCACACCGCCGGTATTGTTGCTGGTACCAACCTCTAGGCCTCCGCCATCGTGGTTTTCTCACGACGCAGACCTCTTGACTGGAGGAGCACGGAAAATTGCATGGGCTAAGAAACATTCGGCGCTCCGCGCGGATCCGCGAAAGCGCATGCTCGTGCAAGCTGTTGCTCTTCGATTGGCTCATGTCCCCAAGACCGCCTTCGCACTCCGAGCGCCCTTCTTGGACGGTCCCGGCGCCCGGCGAGGGCCCCTGGAGGCCGAAAACTGGCAATCTCCCCGCAGCGAAGGACATCTGGGCCCTGGCTCCTCCGAGTGGCTTTCACGCCATGACTTTTTCCTCCTCCTCCTCCTCCTCCTCCTCCTCCTCCTCCTCCTCCTCCCCTCCTCCTCCCCTCTCCTACTCCTGCTCGTCCTCCCCCTCCTCCTCTCCTCCTCCTCCTTCTCCTCCTCCTCCTCCTACCTCCTCCTCCTCCTCCTCCCTCCTCCTCCCTTCTTTCCCCTCCTCCCTCCCCTCCTCCTCCTCCTCCTCCTCTCCTCCTCCTCCTCCTCCTCCTCCTCCATCCTCCTCCTCCTCCTCCTCCTCCTCCTCCTCCTCCTCCTCCTCCTCCCTCCTCCTACTCCTCCTCCTCCTCCTCCTGCCTCCTCCTCCCTCCTCCTCCCTCCTCCCTCCCTCCTCCTCCCTCCTCCTCCCCTCCTCCTCCACTCCTCCTCCTCCTCTTCCTCCTCCTCCTCCTCCTCCTCCTCCTCCTCCTCTCCTGTCCATCCTCCTCCTCCTCCTCCTCCTCCTCCTCCTCCTCCTCCTCGTCCTCCTCCTCCTCCTTTCCTCCTCCTCCTCCTCCTCCTCCTCCTCTCCTCCTCCTCCTCCTCCTCGTCCTCCTCCTCTCCTCCTCCTCCTCCTACTCCCTCCTCCGCCTCCTCCTCCTCCTCCTCCTCCTCCCTCCTCCTCCTCCTCCTCCTCCTCTCTCCTCCTCCTCCTCCTCCTCCTCTCTCCTCCTCCCCCTCCCTCCTCCTCCTCCTCCCCCTCCTCCTCCCCCCTCCTCCTCCTCCGTAGCCATTTTGGCTCAAGTCCTTGGCCTCTGGGGGCTCAGGACTGCCGCACTGCCATCCAGGGAAGGCCCTGGGTGCTGGGGCTCGAGAAGGCCCCCCGTGGCCCTTTCGGCATCACGACAGCGCAGTTGGTTTTCGCACCCTTGTGCGCGCTGGGGAGGCGCAGGGAGCACAAGCAGCGATGGCCAAGCAGCAGAAGTACATCATGTGCAATCGCCGTGGGTGCAAGGGCTGGACTTGGAGCAATACTGGGGCTAAGCATTGTGATCAATGTGGTGGCCGCTTCAGGTCGCAGCAGTATGCACCACCTGGAGGCGCTCGTGGAGGCGCCGCCAACAACCCAGGCGCAGGTGGGGCTGGGTCAGAGTCCATACCGTCGCCGTCGCAGCCCGACAAGCCTGGCCGCTGGCGCGGTCGTGACAGATCCCGTGGGCCCAGTCATCCGCCAGGCCTGCGACGCCCAGGATCGATCACCTTCGCCGACGGAGAAGGACAACAGCCACAAGAAGAAGATATCGTGGCCCTGGCGCAGGCGCAGGTCACGTTCTGGAAGAAGTGGAAGCCCAACGGAGAAGAGTACAATGCAGCGTTGGGCAAACTCAAGCAAGCCAGGGCCTCCGTCCTGGCTACCAAGTCGTTGGACCAACAGGCGCAATCTCTCTCGGACCAGCTGGAGACACAGCGCCAGAAGTACGTCACGCAGACCACGGAGCTCAAGAAGCTCGTCGAGACCATCCTGGAAGTCAGTGGGCGGCACTCCAAACTCGTCGAGGAGGCCAAGTCCACGCAGCAGGAGATCCAGAGCCTCGAGAGCCAATACAACATGGCCAAGCAGGCCGCCATGCAAGCAGCCACAAAGGACGAAGATCTACTCTCGACCTTGCAAGGAGTTCTCGCAGCCCGTATGCCGCCAGGCAGCAGGGCGCCACCCGACCTCTGCTCGAAGGTGGCAGAGCTCGCCTCCTACTTCGACGACCTCACCGCCCAGCATGCGCAGGCCCAGTCGCCTGGGCCGCGGCCACGGGACGATTCAGACTTCCCTGCCGTCGGC